GATTGGGTGGTTATAGAATAGGAGCTGCCTCGTATGGGCCAATAGGCCTTCTGCAGTTACCTTTGTTCTTATGTTCTTATGGTTAGGCCCCATTTAGATTATGCAGTTCAGTTTTGGTCTCCGTACTATAGAATGGATATAAATTCATTTGAACGTATCCAGCGTACGATGACTAAGTTAATTCCTCAAATTAGAACTCTTTCATATGAAGAAAGATTAACAAAGCTTAAATTGCATTCACTGGAAAGGCGAAGAGTTAGGGGTGACATGATAGAGGTTTTTCAAGTGGATGAATGGACATAACATAAGAACAAAGGCAACTGCAGAAGGCCTATTGGCCCATACGAGGCAGCTCCTATTTATAACCACCCAATCCCACTCATATACATGTCCAACCCATGCTTGAAACAATCGAGAGACCCCACCTCCACAATGTTACACGGCAATTGGGTCCACAAATTAACAACCCTGTTACTGAACCAGTATTTATGCAAGTCTTTCCTAAATCTAAACTTATCCAATTTATACCCATTGTTTCGTGTTCTGTCTTGTGTTGATACTTTTAATACCCTATTAATATCCCCTTTGTTATGTCCATTCACCCACTTGTTAACCTCTATCATGTCACCCCTAACTCTTCGCCATTCCAGTGAATGCAACTTAAGCTTTGTTAATCTTTCTTCATATGAAAGATTTCTAATTTGGGGATTAATTTGGGGATTTGGGGATTAACTATGGGATTAATTAATTTCTAATTAATAACAAAGGAGATATTAATAGGGTATTAAAAGTATCAACACAAGACAGAACACGAAACAATGGATACAAATTGGATAAGTTTAGATTTAGGAAAATCTTGGGTAAATACTGGTTCGGTAACAGGGTTGTTGATTTATGGAACCAATTACCGCGTAACGTGGTTGAGGTGGGGTCCCTTGATTGTTTCAAGGGCGGGTTGGACAAGTATATGAGTGCGATTGTGTGGTTATAGATAGGAGCAGCCTCGTATGGGCCAAAAGGCCTTCTGCAGTTACCTTTGTTCTTATGTTCTTAAATTGGGGAATTAACTTAGTCATCTTACGCTGGACACGTTCAAGTGAATTTATATCCATTCTATAATACGGCAACCAAAACTGAACTGCATAATCTAAATGGGGCCTAACCAGAGCAAGATATAGCTGAAGAACCACACCAGGTGTCTTGTTACTATCGCTTCGATTAATAAATCCCAGTGTCCTATTTGCCTTATTACGAACATTCATGCATTGATCCTTTTGTTTTAAAGTCTTACTTATCATAACTGCCAGATCCCTTTCGCAATTCGACTTCGCAATCTCAACATCATCTAGCTCGTATCTCGTAACTCTATCATCATTACCTAGCCTCAAACCTTTACATTTATCAGCATTAAACTGCATCTGCCAATCCTTTGACCATTTCAAAACCCTACTTAGATGAACTTGAAGTGATAGTGAGACTTCTTCCGTGTTAATTTCCCTACCGATTTTTGTATCATCGGCAAATTTGCAGATGTTGCTACTCAAACCTGAATCTAAATCATTTATATATATTATAAACAACAGAGATCCCAGGACAACAGAGATCGTACAACTGCTTAGAAATGTTAAAAAAGAGATAAGGAAAGCAAAAAGAAACTATGAAGTTCGCATAGCAGGGCAAGCAAAGACAAATCCAAAAGGTTTTTTTCAGTTATATCGTACTAAGACTAGGGAAAGGATAGGTCCATTAAAAACTGAGACAGTTCAAATAACAGATAGTGATGAGGAGATGATTAGTATTTTTAATAAATATTTTGTATCTGTATTTACTAAAGAGGAACTTAACAATATGCCTTCAGCCGAACAAGTCTATGTGGGTGGGGACGAGGACAGGTTGACGAGTTTAGCAGTTACCAGGGAGGATGTTCTTAAACAAATAGTAAAACTCAAAGCAAACAAATCCCCAGGGCCGGATGAAGTGTTTGCCAGGGTGTTTAAAGAATGCAAAGAGGAGCTTGTGACCCACTGTCAACCATATTTAATAAATCAATAGAGTCAGGAAGAGTGCCAGAGTTTTGGAAAGTTGCTAATGTGATACCAGTTTTTAAGAAAGGAGATAGATCACTTGCGTCTAACTATCGACAAATTAGCCTAACGTCTATTGTGGGAAAATTACTCGAATCTATAATAGCAAATAAAATTCGTCTTCATCTTGAAAAACATAAATAAATAATTGAGTCGCAACATGGTTTTATAAATGGCCGTTCATGTTTAACAAATTTGTTATCTTTTTATTCTAGCATAGTTGAGGCAGTTGATAGTGGTAAGGATTGTGATGTTGTGTACCTTGACTTTAGCAAAGCTTTTGATACAGTGCCACATGAAAGACTGATTAAAAAGATAGAGGCTCATGGTATTGGGGGTGCTATATTAAACTGGATTAGGGCATGGCTATACCAAAGGAAACAGAGAGTTAGTATAAATGGAGTCAAGTCAGAGTGGGAAAATGTTGTAAGTGGTGTGCCTCAATGCTCTGTCCTGGGACCTCTGTTGTTTATAATATATATAAATTATTTAGATTCAGGTTTGAGTAGCAACATTTGCAAATTTGCCGATGATACGAAAATCGGTAGGGAAATTAATTCGGAGGAGGACTCACTATCACTTCAAGTTGATCTAGATAGGGTTTTGAAATGGTCAAAGGATTGGCAGATGCAGTTTAATGCTGATAAATGTAAAGTTCTGAGGTTATGTAATGATGATAGAGTTACAAGATACGAGCTAGATGGTGTTGAGATTGCGAAGTCGGATTGCGAAAGGGATCTGGGAGTTATGATTAGTAAGAATTTAAAACAAAAGGATCAATGCATAAATGTTCGTAATAAGGCAAATCGGACACTTGGATTTATTAATCGCAGCGTTAGTAACAAGACACCTGGTGTGGTTCTCAAGCTATATCTTGCTCTAGTTAGGCCCCATTTAGATTTTGCAGTTCAGTTTTGGTCGCCATATTATAGAATGGATATAAATTCACTTGAACGTGTCCAGCGTAGGATGACTAAGTTAATTCCCCAAATTAGAAATCTTTCATATGAAGAAAGATTAACAAAGCTTAAGTTGCATTCACTGGAAAGGCGAAGAGTTAGGGGTGACATGATAGAGGTTTACAAGTGGGTGAATGGACATAACAAAGGGGATATTAATAGGGTATTAAAAGTATCAACACAAGACAGAACACGAAACAATGGGTATAAATTGGATAAGTTTAGATTTAGGAAAGACTTGGGTAAATACTGGTTCAGTAACAGGGTTGCTGATTTGTGGAACCAATTACCGCGTAACGTGCTGGAAGTGGGGTCCCTCGATTGTTTCAAGCTCGGGTTGGACAAGTATATGAGTGGGATTGGGTGGTTATAAATAGGAGCTGCCTCGTATGGGCCAATAGGCCTTCTGCAGTTGCCTTTGTTCTTATGTTCTTATATCACCCCCTAATTCCGCCTTAGTTAGAGTGAGGTGAATCTGGTGATCTTGGAGAAGGAATTTGAACCTCACCTTGCGGCCTCACTGGGTATTTATACGGCAACAGCAACAGAATATGTAGACAGTGTAGTCTTAAATATTCCAGTTCAAATCGACGATTTTACCAATTACACAGCGCTTTGACACTGACAATACCAAAGCAATTCAGTGAGGTATGTTCGATTCGATTGAGTGAGGTATTTGTAAGAATTACTTTTTTTGCCATTTTATTAAATTTAAGTAGACAATTCACCTACTTGCTACTATTCAATATGAAAGATTATTGCTTCCTGAATCAACATATTAGGAGCCAACACTAGAGTTGGTAAGAAAATCAGGTGGAGCTTTCAAGTAACTGGAATCCGTGACCAAAGATTCTGTGCTGACGTTTCGACAAAAACCACTTATAGCTTACTGATCGACAGGAAGTTTGGCTTCGACATTCTGAAGCCAGTCCATGTTTTACTTATAAACACTCTGGTATTGGCAACGTAAGGCCATACGGGCTTCTCATAGCTCGTGCTACATGTACATTTCGTTGCGAGTAGCTAAGTTTAAAACAACAAACAACAGGCAACGAAGCTCATTCACAATACGCTCCAACTTCATAAACACAAAGAAATCATTGTTTCTTGATGCTTGTTCATTGATGAATCACGATTGTGATTTCTGTGTGTTTCTTACACCTCCAAGTGGATGTGTAAGAAATCACATTAACGTGATATATATATCAATGAGTAATTTAACTGGAGTTCTGAGGTGTAGGTGCACCAAAGTGCTTGGGGGCCTATACATAAAACGTTGACTGGCTTCAGTAGGGGCCTCAAGACTTCCTGTCGATTTAGTAGAACTAAAGGTTGTACTACTGTATAACAACCCAGCGATGGGTTATGTAAAATTCAAAATTATGTAAAATTTGTGGATTCAAAATAAAACTTAAATAAATAAATATATATATATATATATATATATATATATATATATATATATATATATATATATATATATATATATATATATATATATATATATATATATATATATATATATATCCCTTCATGCAGGTCGGCGATCAATCCTCGACACTCCAGATGGCACCATTCCTTCACCCCGTCCCATCCTAGATAATTACTATCAGCATCTTCAGTAGATAATCTCCACCAGCATCTTTACTGGGTAATCTCCACCAGCACCTTGACTGGGTAATCTCCACCAGCATCTTGACTAAGTAATCTCCGCCAGCATCTTGACTGGATAATCTCCACCAGCATCTTGACTGGATAATCTCCACCAGCATCTTGACTGGGTAATCTCCACCAGCATCTTGACTGGGTAATCTCCACCAGCACCTTGACTGGGTAATCTCCACCAGCATCTTGACTAAGTAATCTCCGCCAGCATCTTGACTAAATAATTGTTATATCGGATATATATATCAGGCGGCCAAACTCTTAAGTTTAAGGATATTTATTGCTTCTCATAATGGAGTCATCATCAGGTGTGGAACGCCTCAGAGAGGTGTGTGATCGCCTCCAAGTGGATGTATTCGGCCCCACTTTCTTCTACTCTGTCTTCAATAAGGACTGCACATGGACGCTGGGATCCGGGTCGTTTGGCAGTTGTTCTGTGGCATCAGTTGGGGACTCCTGGTGGGTGGCTAAGACTTGTGTCGACTCGCCATGGATTATTAATTCGTTAGTCGGTGAAATAGAGGCCCTGTGGGATCTGCAAGGATTGGCTGGCGTGCAGAAGTTGATCGGCGTCTGCCCTGAGACCCTCACCCTGATTACGGAATTTTCCGGTGAGACTTGGGCAACAGTACTGGAGCGGGGCCAATCTGTGCAAGAGAATCTGGTGGTGATAAGTCAGGTGTGCCGGATCGTGGAAACAATCCATGCACGGGGATGGGTACATGTGGATATAAAGGCGAATAATATCTGCCTACAATACACGATTGAGGGAATACAGGTTACCATTATTGACTTTGGGTTGGCCATGCTCATTGGGAAACAGTGTAACTTTCAGAAAGGTGCCCAGAGCACACACATTGCACCCGAGGTCTTAGAGAACCACCCATGTACCCCCGCTGCTGACGTGTACAGCATTGGCAGGATGTTTGAATTATCTGCCTATTATTGCGACTTAAAGGACCATTTCGCTGTGCGTTTGTATATGACTCAGGCGCTGAAGCCACGGATCCATCTACGGCCGGGGTTGGAAAAACTAACAGAAGAATGCTCCAAAGCGCTTATTATGGAGAGGCGATACATAGCTATCAGTACTGGTACAATGCCTCAAGAGTCAGACACAGCAGTAGGATACGGGAGACATAGCCAGGCGACACAATTGGCTTGACACAACACTGGGATAGAGGGAAGACATAATCAGGGACACCACAGGCATCACATAACTTATAGAACTCTTGTCCACTTGTATTTTTAATAATATTAAAGTTCAATAGAATAATTTTAAGTGTTTGTATTATTGTCAATATTAAATGTACATGTATTATGTATATATGAAGTATATATATATATATATATATTATATATATATATATATATATATATATATATATATATATATATATATATATATATATATATATATATATATATATATATATATATATGTATTTATGAAGATGTATTAATATACGAAAGTACTTAAGGTAATTCCTGTTTCAATTTTCCTCCGTTGTCTGACAATGTCAGTTTTTTTAATCACGTGTTTATTTTTGTGATATACACACATACTATATATATATGCGAACAAGCCTGAATGGTCCCCAGGACTATATGCGACTGAAAACTCACACCCCAGAAGTGACTCGAACCCATACTCCCAGGAGCAACGCAACTGGTAACTACAGGACGCCTTAATGCGCTTGACCATCACGGCCAGACAAAAGGAAGTGATAACCGAAGCTATTTGAACCACTTCCCCGCCGGCAACTCGGATGGTAATCTTGGGCATAGCATTTCACCAAATCACTTCATTCTTTGGGGCACACGTGAGGAACACAAATGCGAACAAGCCCGAATAGTCTCCATGACTATATGCAACTGAAAACTCACACCCCAGAAGTGATTCGAACCCATACTGCTAGGATCTACGCAACTTGGATGTACAGGACGCCTTAATCCGCTTGACCATCACGACTGGACATAAGGAAGTGATAGCCGAAGCTGTTTGATCCACTTCCCACCCGGCACACGGAATGTAATCTTGGGCATAGCATTTTATCAAATCACCCCATTCTTTGGGGCACACATGAGGAACACAAATGCGAACAAGCCTGAATGGTCCCCAGGACTATATGCAACTGAAAACTCACACCCCAGAAGTGATTCGAATCCATACTGCCTGAAGGAACGCCACTGACATGTACAGGACGCCTTAATCCGCTTGACCATCACGACCGGGCATAAGGAAGTGAGAGCCGAAGCTATTTGATCCACTTCCTCGCCAGCACTCGGATGGTAATCTTGGGCATAACATTTGATCAAATTACCTCATTCTTTGGCTTCACGTGAGGAACAAAAGTGCTAACAAGCTTGAATGGTCCCCAGGACTATATGCAACTGAAAACTCACTTCCCAGAAGAGACTCGAACCCATAATGCCAGGAGCAACGCCACTGGTATGAACAGGACGCCTTAATCCTCTTGACCATTACGACTGGACATAAGGAAGTGATAGCCGAAGCTATTTGAACCAATTCCCCGCCGGAACTCGGATGGTAATCTTGGATATATCATTTTATCAAATCACCTCATTCTTTGGGGCACACGTGAGGAACACAAATGCGAACAAGCCTGAATAGTCTCCAAAACTATATGCAACTAAAAACTCACACCCCAGAAGTGATTCGAACCCATACTGCTAGAAGCTACGCAACTTGCATGTACAGGACGCCTTAATCCGCTTAACAATCATGACTGGACTTAAGGAAGTGATAGCCGAAGCTATTTGATCCACTTCCCGGCCGGAACTCGGAATGTAGTCTTGGGCATAGCATTTTATCAAATCACCCCATTCTTTGGGGCACACATGAGGAACACAAATGCGAACAAGCCTGAATGGTCCCCAGGACTATATGCAACTGAAAACTCACACCCCAGAAGTGATTCGAATCCATACTGCCAGAAGGAACGCCACTGACATGTACAGGACGCCTTAATCCGCTTGACCATCACGACCGGGCATAAGGAAGTGAGAGCCGAAGCTATTTGATCCACTTCCTCGCCAGCACTCGGAATTTAATTACAATAACCTAAGAAATTTATTAGGTCAAATAGATTGGAAAGTAGTCTTGGGGATGGGGTGTGGGCAAGTCTTGGAGCTAGACGTGAACCCAGCGATAGGTGACGTAAAAGGGGATTTCGATGTGGATTTAATATATAACTTATTTAAGAATATTCTAAACAAAGCACAGGCATAGTATACCATACAAATTGAATAGATCGAATACTAATGACCCAAAGTGGATAACAAAGAATTTGAAGAACCTTATAGGTAAAAAGAGAGCTTGGTACAAAAGGATTAAGAATGGGGAAGTCAGTTTAGAACAGGAATTCATACAACTGGTTAGAAATGTTAAAAAAGAGATTAGGAAAGCAAAAAGAAACTATGAAGTTCCCATAGCTGAGCAAGCAAAGTCAAATCCTAAAGGGTTTTTTCAGTTATATCGAACTAAGACTAGGGAAAGGATAGGTCCATTAAAAACTGAGACAGGTCAAATAACGGATAATGACAAGGAGATGAGTAGTATTTTTAACAAATATTTTATATCTGTATTTACTAAAAAAGAACTTAACAATATGCCTTCAGCCGAACAAGTCTATGTGGGTGGGGATGAGGACAGGTTGACTAGTTTAGCAGTTACCAGGGAGGATGTAATTAAACAATTAGAAAAACTAAAACCAAACAAATCCCCAGGGCCGGATGAAGTGCTTGCCAGGGTGCTTAAAGAATGCAAAGAGGAGCTTTCCGAGCCACTGTCTACCAAATTTAATAAATCAATAGAGTCAGGCAGAGTGCCAGAGTCATGGAAGGTAGCTAATGTGGTACCAATTTTTAAGAAAGGAGATTGATCACTTGCGTCAAACTATCGGCCAATTAGCCTAACGTCTATTGTGGGAAAGTTACTTGAATCAATAATTGCAAATACAATTCGTCTTCATCTTGAATAACATAAATTAATAAATGATTTGCAACATGGTTTTACAAATGGCCGTTCATGTTTAGAAAATTTGCTAACTTTTTATTCCAGCATAGTTGAGGCAGTTGATAGTGATAAGGATTGTGATGTTGTGTACCTTGACTTTAGCAAAGCTGTTGATACAGTGCCACATGAAAAGCTAATTAAAAAAATAGAAGCTCATGGTATTGGGGGTGCTATTCCAAAGGAAACAGAGAGTTAGTATAAATGGGGTTAGGTCAGAGTGGGATAATGTTGTTAGTGGAGTACCTCAGGGCTCTGTCTTGGGACCTGTGTTGTTTATAATATATATAAATGATTTAGATTCAGGTTTGAGTAGCAAAATCTGCAAATTTTGCAGATGATACAAAAATCGGTAGGGAAATTAACATGAAAGAAGACTCGGTATCACTTCAAGTTGATCTAAATAGGGTTTTAAAATGGTCAAAAGACTGGCAGATGCAGTTTAATGCTAATAAATGTAAAGTTTTGAGGCTAGGTAATGATGATAGAGTTACAAGATACGAGCTAGATGGTGTTGAGATTGCGAAAGGGATCTGGGAGTTATGATTAGTAAGAATTTAAAACAAAAGGATCAATGCATGAATGTTCGTAATAAGGCGAACAGGACACTGGGATTTATTAATCGAAGCATTAGTAACAGGACACCTGGTGTGGTTTTTCAGCTATATCTTTTTCTGGTTAGGCCCCATTTAGATTATGCTGTCCAGTTTTGGTCGCCATACTATAGAATGGATATAAATTCACTTGAACGTGTCCAGTGTAGGATGACTGAGTTAAGTCCCCAAATTAGAAATCTTTCATATGAAGAAAGATTAACAAAGCTTAAGTTGCATTCACTGGAAAGGCAAAGAGTTAGGGGTGACATGATAGAGGTTTACAAGTGGATGAATGGATATAAAAAAGGGGATTTTAATAGGGGTATTAAAAGTATCAACACATTACAGAACACGAAAATATGGGTATAAATTGGATAAGTTTTAATTTAGGAAAGACTTTGGTAAATACTGGTTCAGTAACATGGTTGTTGTTTTGTGGAACCAATTCCCGCGTAACGTGTTGGAGGTGGGATCCGTAGATTGTTTCAAGCGGGGTTGGACATGTATATGTGTGGGATTGGGTAGTTATAAATAGGAGCTGCCTAATGTGGGCCAATAGGCCTTCTGCAGTTGCCGTTTGTTCTTATGTTCTTATATTATTTTGTTTGGAATGTTGAGCGCCACTATTCATGCCCCCAAGGCTCCAGTAAGCTTCATTGTATCTAGTTAAACTGCAGCCCAAGCAGAACACAAATGCGAACAAGCCTGAATGGTCCTCAGGAATATATGCAACTGAAAACTCACACTCCAGAAGTGACTCGAACCAATACCGCCAGGAACAATGCAACTGGCATGTACAGGACGCCTTAATCCGCCTAACCATCACGACCAAATATAAGGAAGTGATAGCCGAACCTATTTGAACCACTTCCCTGCCGGCACTCGGATGGTAATCTTGGGCATATCATTTTATCAAATCGCCTCATTCTTTGGGGTACACGTGAGGAACACAAATGCTAACAAGCCTGAATGGTCCCAAGGACTATATGCAACTGAAAACTCACACCCCAGAAGTGACTCAAACCCATACTGCCAGGAACAACGCAACTGGCAGTTATCAAATCACCTCATTCTTTGGGGCTCACGTGAGGAACACAAATGTGAACAAGCCTGAATGGTCCCCAGGTATATATGCAACTGAAAACTCACACCCCAGAAGTGATTCGAATCCATACTGCCAGGAGGAAAGCAACTGACATGTACAGGATGCCTTAATCCGCTTGACCATCACAACTGGGCATAAGGAAGTGATAGCTGAAGCTATTTGATCCACTTCCCTGCCAGCACTCGGATGGTAATCTTGGGCATATCATTTTATCAAATCACCTCATTCTTTGGGGCACACGTGAGGAACACAAATGCGAACAAGCCCGAATAGTCTCCATGACTATATGCAACTGAAAACTCACACCCCAGAAGTGATTCGAACCCATACTGCCAGGATCTATGCAACTTGGATGTACAGGACGCCTTAATCCGCTTGACCATCACGACTGGACATAAGGAAGTGAGAGCCGAAGCTATTTGATCCAC